TTGCAGCACTAAAGGACAGCCACTTGAGAGAATGAGGCTCCCTCTACTGGCTTTTTCCTTTAGAAATAACAGAAGCAAAATAATATTGATAATAATAATAGTACAGATTCACACGATCAGCAGTGCTAGTTCAATTCCTTGTCCACTGAGTCTTGTTGTAAGGGAACAAAACTCTCCAGCTCCACAGCAAGACAAAGAGATGGAGACTGTGCTATTATCGGAACTTCAGACTGAAAGAGTTCTTGCTGGAGGTGGAAACAGTCTGGTCACTTATGTCAGGCACTGCTTTGCTTGAGGAAACAATGCAAAGTTTGTTGTAGCTACTCTCAGAAACACCTCACCACAGTTCTCAAATTTGTTTTCATCAACTTGGTGTCATCTGCAAGGTTGCTGCAGATGCACTCAATCCCCTCATCCGGGACATGGATAAAGATATTAAAGAGGACCAGCCCCAGCACTGGCCTCCTGGGGAACACTGTTCATGACTGGTCGCCAGCTGGATTTAACTCCATTCACCATCACTGTCTGGGCCCAGCCATCCAGCCAGTTCTTCACCCAGTGAGGAGTATACTAGTCTAAGCCATGAGCTGTCAGGTTCTCCAGGAGAAGGCAGCAGGAGACTGTGTCAAAGGCCTTACTGAAGTCTAAGCAGACCGTGTCCACAGCCTTTCCCTCATCCACTGGGTGGTCACCTGGTCATAGGACATCAGGTTTGTCCTGCAGGAGCTGCCTTTCCTGAACTCATGTTGGCTGGGCCTGATCCCCTGATTGTCACACACATGCTGTGTGGTGGCCCTCAAGATTATCTGCCCCATAACTTTCCCTGATACTGAGGTCAGGCTGACAGGCCTGTAGTTCCCCAGATCCTCCCCCCAACCCTTCCTGTAGATGGGCATCACTTTGGCAAGTGTCCAGTCATCTGAAACCTCCCTGGTTGATGAGGACTGCTGAGAGATGATGGAGACCAGCTTGCCAAGCACTTCCACCAGCTCCCTCAGAACCCTCAGGTGCATGGCATCTGACTCCATGGACTTGGACCTCACCCTAAGACTACCACAAAGGTGAGGGGCAGATTAAACACCGGGCCATGATTGGCTGAAAAGACGAAGTGGTCTTGGGAGGAAGTTGGGTGCAGGCCGCATTTCCTCTGCCATGCCCTTGGCAGCCCCACTCTGCCCCATTGCAGTCTCTGAGACAAAAGATGCCCTAGGAGCAGACGGAGTGTAATGCTGCATGTACTTCTGTATGCCCTTTGCAGTCAAACTCTACATGGAGCTCTATGGTTTGTCATTCTCCAAGGCCTAACTCCAATCATGAGAGTGACCAGGTCCCAAATGCCCAAGTCCCATAGAAGGCTCAAGACAAAAGTTCCTCTAGGAGCACATTGGCTGTAGTGTTGTATGTCCTTTGCCATGCCTTTTACAGCTGCATATGGCCCTATATTTTGTCATTGCTCAAACCCTAACCCTAACCCTGATCATGAGAGTGACTAGGGCCTGAAACAATCTGCCCCACTGAATGGCCCGAGACAAAAGTTGTCCTAGGAGCACACTGAGTATAGTGCTGCATGTCCCTTGCTGTGCCCTTTGCAGCCAAACTCTACATGAAACTCTACACTTTATCATTCTCTGAACCCTAAACATAACCATAACCCTAATCCCAGTCTTGAGAGTGACCTGGAACCAAAACCATCTACCCCACTGAAGGACGAGACAAAAGTTGCCCTGGGAGCAGAGTTGAGTGTAGCCTTGCATATCCTCTGGCATGTGTTTTGCAGCCAAACTCTAGATGGAGCTCTACACTTTATTTTTCTCCTAACCCTAATCATGAGAGTGACTAGGTCATGAAAAAGTCTGCTGCATTGCATTCCCTGAGGCAAAATGTGCCCTAGGAGCAGAATGGGTGTAGTATTGCCTAGCCATTGGCATGCACTTTGCAGCAAAACTCTACATGGAGCTCTACACTTTATCCTTCTCCAAATCCTAACTATCCCTAACCATGAGAGTGTCTAGGTCCTGAACACACTAGTCCCAATGAAGGCCCCAAGAGATAAGTTGCCCTAAAAGCAGATTGAGTGTAGTGTTGCATGTGCTTTGGCATTCTTTTTTCTCCCCACTCTCTGTAGACCTCTGTGCTTCATCTTTCTTGAAACCCTAACCCTCACCCTCTTCATGGAAGTGACTTGAACCCAAAATGATCTGCACCAATGAAGACCCTGAGATGAAAGTTGCCCTAGAAGCAGACTTGGTCTAGTACTTTGTAAAGCCCTTTGTAACCCTGTTTCACGTGACTCCATGCTTTGTCATTCTGCAAACCCTAACCCTAACCATGAGAGTGACTTACATGCCGAATGTTCTACCCCACTAAAGTCCCTGAAAGAAAAGTCCTAAGAGTAGACTGGGTGTAGTGCTACATGTCCTTTGGCATGCCCTTTGTAGCTACACTTCACGTGTAGTTCTAAGTTTTATCATTCTCTGAATCCTAACCCTAAACATAACCTTAAACATGAGACTGACTTGGAACTAAGACCATCTGAAACCAACCCCATTGAATGCCCCGACAGAAAAGTTGCTCTAGGAGCAAGTTGGTGTAGAGTCATATTTCTTTTAGCATGCCCTTTGCAGCCAAATTTCACATGTGGTCCAACGCCTTATCATTTTCCAAACCCTAATCCCAGTCATGAGAATGACTTCGATAAGTACGATCAGCTGCCTTACCTGTCCATGACAGGGAACAATACCAACAGGCATCATGGATAACTGTCGATAAAAAGGCCAAACAAGAACTGCCCTTAATTCTCATTCTCGACTGGCGTCTACGGCTTGCCTTCTGGCACTCTTTCTGCCCCTTGTACACTCTGAAGCCTATCAACACTGACCGTTGTCAGGATTGAGAGGCCTTGACTAGTCCTAGCCATGCATACCACTTGGGAAGCAAATCAATGGCTATCATGCCCCATCGAGTGGCCGCGAAGCCTCTCAGACTCACCTGGCGTCTACAGCTTTTGCCCAAGGACCTATTTGGCAGGTGGTCAGGCATTGGCACCAACGGACGTCGAGAACTCTCGATATCAAGTGACATTGATGCCTGTCAAGTTCCACGCCTCTCGATACAGATGTTATGTCATGACTCTTCAACTCTTCTGATTCTTTGGATGCCTCTGAGCATTGAGGCCCCACAAAACATATTACAAATATTACTAAGCTAGTTTTGTTTCAAGTAATAGCAGACTTGCTTTCACAAAAAGAAGAATTCTATTCCAGCCCCACAGCACTACATCATCACCATTTATTTTTTCTACTCAGTTACTCACCATTGTCTGAAAAATAAAAGGAAAATAATATAAGCTGAATGACACTGCATTGCTCAACCAGCAGTATACCCCACTCAGACTGACTTTATGAAAATTACTTCCTCTTTTGCCTCAAAATGCCTTCCTCTTTCTTCTGCTTATCTTAGCAGAAGGTGCTTCCTAAAAGCACCATCCTCAGGCAGGGGGGGATCACTTGCCTGGAGGTGGGGGAGAGGAGAGACTTCTCTAATCTGACTTGCTTAGGCTGACTGAATTTCAAAAATGAATTTAATGTCAGGTGGCACACATACTGCAGCTGATCTTAGTCAAGAAGTCTGTAGTCTTAATGTCTGCTTATATTTGAAAATTTGAAGGCTGAGTGTATATAGTATGTTCACCTAATATAAAGCATTTAATAAAGAAGATCCATTTTGCTGTAGACTATGCTGAATGTTCAGAAGCAAAAAATTGGAATATTTAATATCAGTTGAATGATTGCATTTGGAAAATTACTCAATATAGGGGCACACTTCCAAGCTGTCTTAGAAACACGGTGGTAGAAAGGTCCAGAATGTTAACGCCTAATCCGTGCACTGGTATTTCTAGAACAACTCTTTCATACTGATTAGAAAGTGAGAATGTTTATTCAGATTTATATTGTTTATTCAGATTATAGAAATAGAGTTGAATCCACATGGGCTCATTTTATAAGTTTGGTCCTTGATTTTCTTTGTAGAGATGATCTCAGCTATGTAGATGGGAACTGTACATTTTCCACTTACATAACTCTAATCCACAACACCTACAAAATCTCATTAGCCATCATAACAGATAGCAGCAGGACCTTCTGAGGGAAGTCTTGGGAACAGACTCTCAGTTGTCTTGTCTAATTGACATTTCCCCACCAAAGGGATAGTCATTGCAAAAGTAAAAAGGATACCTGGAGGTTGCAGAGTGCTGATGGTAAATGTGTCCTCAGGAACTCTGCTGGTTTGGATCAGCTCTACATCAGAAATGAAATCCTTAGGAACAGCTCTCGCTCTGATTACTGCAAGTTGTACAACACTAAGTGTACTGTTGGTACAGAACACATATTCAGAAAGAACTCTTATTTAACACTAGACATTTTATTTGGTATGAAAGCACAGGTAAAACATTTGTTGCAACCAGTAACCCCCACATCACTTTCATACAAATTTAAGTCAATATATAACATAAAAAAAACCCTTTACTAACATTGAGGTACTGCTTTTACTTAATGTAAATGGTTTGTACTTAATGTACATGGTTTGCATCCATGTACATTTGCACGACATGTGGTTTTACATACAAATTTATATGATAAAACTTTTTAATAACTTCCCTGTCCTCAATTATTAAATTCTCATCTATCTTCTTTTCTAGTCACAGAGCACTGTTTTTTTCTTCTACTTCCTGTTTTCTTCTTTCTTGATTCAATTCTATACCCAGATTTCACATACTGCACTGTTTTTGTTTTAAAAATGTTTGCTATTCTAGAATATTTAATGCTTAACAAGAACCATGCCAGTGATTCACTGAGGTCATAAGTCTTTTCAGATGGGTAATGGCAATCTCTCAGTGCCTGCCAGTCATAGAGACATAGAAGCCATATTTACATAGAAGCCATATTTACATAGAGCCATAGAAGATATATTTACATAGATGTCTTTATCACAGAGCTTCCTTTTCAGAGAAAGACAGAACCATCCTGGTCATTTGTATTTATGGTTATGTTGCTGCTCACAATACTTTCTGCATAACTAGTTGAAGAACTGACCTGGTAGCGACTGCAGGGCCCACAGAAACACATGCATGGACAGTATTGTGAGCAGATACGATAAAGATATTTCCTGAATTTTTCCCCAGCAAAAGCATAGATAACAGGATTGAGACAACAGTGACTGAATGCAACAGTTTCAGTCAGATGCATTGCAAAGTCCAATGATTTAATTTGGTTGCAACTTACAAATAGCTCATAGTGCTTTAAAGTTTCTAGAAAAATCAGCACATTGTAGGGGGACCAAAACAGAAAAAATACAACCACCACAACTAAGATCAGCCTTATGGCTCGTGTTTTTTTCTGATTTTTGCAGGACAGCAGGGTTTTGATGATTCCAAAGTAGCAATAGCACATGATACAGACTGGGATAAAAAACCCAATGGTGTTCAATTCCACATTGCAGAACACCCTCCAGATATTCTTAAGCTCATCAGGGTACACAGAAATGCAGTCAGTTTCTAGCTTTTGAGTGAACACAAAATGTGGTACTGAAACTAAAATTGCCATTGCCCATACTCCACAAACTATAAGAAATCCATGGCTCATTGTTCGAGATTTCAGAGAATACGTTGCCCGGACAATAGCCAAGTATCTGTCAATACTGATAACAGTGATAAAAAACATGCCCCCAAAGAAACCTATGTAATACAGTGAAGAAACAGCTTTGCATGAAATAGTCCCAAGAGACCATCCATTGACCACACTGGAAGCCCAGAAGGGAAGGGAGATCACAAAGAGCAGGTCTGAGATTGCCAAGTTCAAGAGATAAATGTCAGTGATGCTCCTTTTACTGCCTTCTTTCACAATGGCAAAAACCACCAGTAGATTCCCTATGAGGCCAAGGGCAAACACTACAATGTAAAATATTGGCAGAAATACTTTCCCAAATTCCTGGATGTCAATTTTATCACAGATAAAAGCATATTCATCATAAAGGAATTCAGTTGTCACTTCTGGGAATGCTTCCGTCATGCTGAATTTTCTGGCTAGAGGGAACATGAAAAAGGGAAAAAAAGGATGTTAGAGAAAGAAATACAATATCTGCTATGGACCAATATTGAGAAATCTAGACACTTTTGGACTTTGTCAATATTGGGTTTTGTGAGACTCGCATTACTGCAGAGGTGATAGTAATTTCTAATATAAGGCTAGACCCTTCGGTTACATGTACTTTACTGAAAATTATCCTTTAATTTAAGAAAAAATAAGTGAGAATTTTAAAGGCTGTCAAATAGGCCCTTTCTTATTGGAAGAGCAGCAGAAATAGCAGTAAGCTGACATCACCCCTGCAAGTGGTGTGCTGTGAGACATGTACTCTCCTAGTCTGTTGGGCAGCGTTCAGCAAGAAACAATACTTGAAATGTAACTGTTAATAGACTTGTGTTACCTGCCAACAACAACAGAAGTGGATCTAACCTTAGATGATAAACCTATGGTAGAAGTACAGAGACATCCCCTAGATGCAAACAAATTTTTGATGATATTTTTGTTTGTTTTTAATCATCTTAAAAGTAAAGAAACTACTGACCCTTTTCCTCAAGCACTGAGGCATCTTATGACTGCCCTGGCCTTGGGTGCAGAGTAGTCAGAGTAGAACCAGGGCTTGTTATCTCAGGAACTATACTGCATCCAACTGGTCAGTATATGTGAGGCAGCTCTGTGACCCCTAATTTGCACACACTAGTTCCTCTGCACTCCCTTGCGAAGTAGTGTTTGAATGTCCATAAGGGCTTCTGTTTGCAGGGAATCAAAACATCTTAAAGAGGCACATCTATTGGGTCTGCTCCTGGTTTGGGTAAAGGACTGTTAAGTATCCATTATTTGATCTCTCTCTAGAAAATGAAGGGAAATTGAGCAAGATACACTGTACAGAAGTCCAAAGACATGACTGCAAGGTCAAAACAAAAAGCTAAGATTAAATAGAAAATTCACTGAAAGCAAAGTTGCAATTAATAACTACCCCTTGGTTACAGTGTTTAAACTTCTTACAAGAAGCCATTCGCTATAGCCCATTGGCTAAAAAGATGGATTCATTTCAGTGAAATTGAATCACCTCTGAAGTGGGTGTTTATGTCTCCTGTTATTGGGAAACGTAGGCAATATAGCCAATGAAGAACAGTGATCAAATGCGGATCATACCAAATCTGCCTTACGATGAGATGGACTGCTTTCTAGGCTCCACTGGCTGCACTCACAAAATTCCTTTTGTCTTTATAAATGGCAGAAGCACATTATTCAGCCATAGACATGTCTGTTGTCACAGAAATCCTAGCCTACATTTCCATGTTTTGTTAATAGCAATAATTTTTATACATTATGCTTAAAATAAGCCTTAATAATTTTAATAAATGGAGTAAAAACCTCTTGTTGTATAAGACAATCCTTACCCAAGAAGTTTCATATTACTTAGTGATAACTACAACAAACTCCCCTAGTGACAGTTATTGTGGCCATATTGACATTTTCTCCGAATGCCTCACTGCTAGGCTGTTGTTTCTACACAAAGTTCTGGGCTCTTATTTTGCAGTCATTTCTCAAGCTTTTTTTTTCTCTACTAGTTGGAAACACATGCTCTCCATTTTAAAAATATCATATTATTCTGAAAGTTCAAAGTCTAGTTGTCCCCAACATTTAAATTAGAAGTGCCCGTAGTCATTAGAAAAAAAATCTCTGTGGTTTTCCACCGGAAAAGTGGTCTAGAAGAAAAGCTGTCTCAGAGCTGGTAGCTTCAGGGCACGGGCACAATGGGAGGAAGGCTGTTTGCAGCAGGCAGTCACACCCACAGGCTGAGCAGCTCTTGCAGAGCATTTCCATTTGAACCAAGAACTGAGCCTGCCTGCAGACTCCATCCAGCCCTTTGCTTGCATCCCTGCTTAGTTCTCCAGGTTCTGGAAGTGTGGTGTCTGATACTAACAGAATTAAGGGGAGATTAGAAGGAAATTTGGAGGAGCCGGGGCAAAGGCCAATGCTAACTGCAAATAAGATAATACTTTTCTATGCATAACATAAGTAAATAGAGATGATTGCAGGAAGGTGTGAGAGGTTCCCTATTCCTTTATGTCTCTGATCAGTCATTATTTTATCTAGATACAGAAATTATCTTGAGGTGTATCACACAATTCCTATAGCCATTCTTTTTTGCCTTCCCATCCTGACATTTCCTTTCTCCTCTTCAGAAACTAAATGCTATATCATGTTCCTCTGAAATGAGGAGATGCAGCAGTAATAGGGCCTGAGTCACTAAGGGAATCCAGCTCCCTATTGCTGAGCTATTACTTGGCCCATCTGCACAGTGCTCATGCCTCTTTCCTACTCGATGGCTATGGGCTTTCCACTTGGATCACTCAGGCCCTGGGGTGAGACCGGCCAAGGGCTATCAAGATGGTCAGGGGCTGGAGAAGATGGCATATAACAAGAGGCTTACAGCTGCCTTAGATCAACCTTAAGAAGACACGGCTCAATGAGGATATTTTTTTCTACCTAATGAGAAGATATAGAGGTGAAGCAGGTAATCCCTTCTCAGAAGAGGAACAGGAAATGGCCAAGCTGCAACATGGGAGATTCTTACTATGAGGAAGAATTTTGCACTTGGAGGGTGTCAAAAAATGGAATATGGCCCCAAAGAAGCTGTGAGGTTTCCACCTCTGAGATATTTGAAATTCAGCTGGACATGGCCCCAGGCAGCCTGCCCTAAATAATCCTGCTCTGAGCAGGAGTTTGGACTAGAATCCTCTGGAGATCTGCTTCCTAACTCTGTGGATCCACAACAAAGGAGAAAAGAACTCACAATGTCCCTGCAAAGTTCTCTGACTTCTACTCTGTCACTTAAGCTCCTCTTGAAGACATATATCTCCTGGTGTGACAGGAAAGAGTCCTCTCACACAGAAGAAAAACACTAAGTAGTGCCAGCTTGTATTCTCTTGGCATCTTTGCTTACCCCACAGGCAGAGTAAAGTGTGGCAGCCAGAGAGCTGCTGGGTTGTGCTTAGGTGTACTGCATGCGTTGTGTGAAGTTTATGATTTGGAAAGAAGGAGTTCACTTTGTTTTACTTTCTCCTCTCTGAGGAATCTTGGCTGTGCTGGTCTTTTCCGTGCTTGCTCTCTCAATTCATGTCTAGGAACACAGCTAGTTCCCTGGGAGAATTTCAGTATGAACACATACAAGCATTTATATTTTGTTTGACTCAGAAAAATATCCATATTTTTAAGAAAATACAGTTCCCAACAAGTTCCCGAAGTGGCAGACTTCTACACATCCTGGAAAGCTGTACTTGAGAATGGTTAGCTTCTTTACGGGAGCACGTTAACACAGAGGTGCAGGATGAAATCCCAGCCTTACTGAAATAAGAAGGAACTTCACCCAGGCTGGGATTTCCTTTGAAGTAATTTCATTAAGTAATTTTCACTAGCTCACTGGTATAGATGATTTTCAATAGCAAATTATTTCCTTTACCAACAAAGGGGTGGTTACTAAGCCTGTGGGACCCATGCCAATGGAAAGGGTAGGATACTGCATGACATACACAGGAGCAAGAAGGAACTGCATTTACCAAAATTACATTTATAGTATCCAAAATTGCTGACAGAGTCTGTGGTTTTTTTCACCCGCTAGTGATTTTGGATATCACCAGCAGCATACTCATACCTTTCCATTGCCACCCATCTTGAATAAGTAATATGGTCACTTCTTGAAAATGTAGCTCACATTTCTCACAAATTAAGCTAATGTTTCTCAACAGGTGGTCTTCAAACTCCAAGGAGCTCGCAAGAAGCAGCCGATGTCAAATAGGCATAATGTGATGAAATTTTACTAAACTCTAAAGCATGGGAACTTCATGCTTCCCTGACAGATAGTCTTTGTCGGTCTTGCAAAATCTATTTCAGTATGTGCTATAGTCTTTTCCATCTCAGCTTCAACCCATTTTTCTCCCTTGCATTTGTGGTAAATATTCAAATTAGGGGACAAGTTAACTGAAAACGGTAGAGTATAGTAAGTAAGGATGGCACATGTCTGTAAGATCTCTCCTTCAGACATTTTCCCTTGCTGAATACAGGAAATAATACTTCTGCTTCTCACAAAACTCCTAACTATTTTTCTCCTTTTCCAGATTACCCCATCAGTTTTCAAGTCTGCTCCTCACGGAACTTCTGCTTTTAATTACATTTATAGCTGTCTAAAAGATTACAATCTGCAGGACAAAAACTGTATTTCTCAACTCGGTTACTCCTAACCATTCTGTATTGTGTGTGCTGTATATAATGCATAGGGAAGTGAGATTATGACATTTAAAATGCATCTAAGCAATGAAAGTTACATTTCAATCCTCAAACAGCACTAACGTCAAGCTGGGTGAGACAAGATTGAAATTCTCTTTACATATCTGGTTGTTCCATTTATCATCCTTGGTACTTCAATTTGTGACAAGTGCCATGTTGCAAGCTTTATCACCTATAAGACAGATCTACAGGCTACTTCAGCTTTCAGTGAAAGAAAAGAGTTAAAAAATAACCCAAACCAGATCTCTGCCAGAGGTTCATGTTTCAGATTTGCATAATATGCAAACTCTCCAAAAATTTTCACACCATAGTCAGCATTTCTGGGTCACGTTGGCTAACTTGCTTTTCTCACGCAAACAAAGCCTATTCTTGATGCGGTCTGAATTTTATACTGAAAATTCAGACCTATGTTGGCTCAGGAAAGGGTTAGGCAATGCATGAGCCCCTGTGAAACCATATGGGTGCCTATCCCATTCTCACTCTTAGAGATGAGATGCCACCACCCTACCCACATTTAAACACAGCTGCTTTTGTCTGTTTGCAACTACACCCATCTGATTCTTGCCTGCTCATGAGTTTCAGAGATGCAGTAGGGATCAATCTCCAAATGAAACACCGTGGCTTCTGGTGGCATTTCTGACAACAACAACAAAATCAAGGGACTGAACAAGGATTGGTAGAAAGAGCAACAGAAGAGAGGAAAAA